AGATTACTTTTCGGGTAATATTTACTCAGTAAGTTCTATTTTAGAGACTTATAGTACGTTTACATTGTACCGATTTAGTTAACCCTGTCGGTTTTGTCAATTCCATTGCATATTCGTCAAATAAATCCTTATAGGCTAATCAGCCAAAAAGTTTTTATGTAAATGCCGTTTTATTAAAGGAATACATTCATAAAATAAAAAATATTTTATGACTTTGTTCAAAATTTAAAATTAACAACTGATTGAAATACATCGAATAGTGTGGTCGGACTATGCTAAAAACGAGTTTTTCAATGATTCCTGTTGTAGAGAGTGCCATCTACGACGCCAAAGGTTTTGAAGGTCCCTCCATCCAACTCTCTCAAAATTTAGAGTACAATAACTTACAAAATAATATATCTAACGTTTCTATTTCTTCTCTTTTTTATCCCCATTTAGATAATGTTGAACATTGAACTTTTGCACACAATTGATACGGAGTATTCCGCCGATTCCATTGAATGGTGTCCCCATACAAATTATCGTAATATTTTTGCATGCGGAACATATCAACTCGAAGAAACCAAGGATGGAGAAGAGGAGAAGCCATGTCAACGCAAAGGCCGTATATATTTGTTCGAATTTGAGAAGGATTGTAACTCATTAAAGGAACTGCAACGTATTGAAACGGCTGCCATTTTAGATATGAAATGGCTAAACTCCAATGAAACTGAAACACCCGTTTTAGCAACGGCTACTGCTTTGGGTCAAATTGAAATATTTCAATTAGTGGATGATTGTTGTAAATTAAAACTTTGCGATTCCATACATCTTAAATCGGATGACAATAATCTATTGGCCTTAGCATTGGACTGGAGACAATGCAGTGACAAAAATGATGAATACGAAATTTTGACATCTGACTCCAAGGGCAATATAAGCCTTGTAACTAGATCCAATGAAAGACCGTTGGAAATATTGAAATCTTGGCATGCTCATAACTTTGAAGCTTGGATATGTGCATTCGATAAATGGGATATAAATCGTGTCTATACGGGCGGTGATGACACATTTCTAAATGTCTACGATTTACGTACGGAATCACGTATTTCACTAAATAAATCGCATTCGGCTGGTGTCACTTGCTTGCTAAGTCATCCCGTGCGAGAGCATATCTTATTGACCGGTAGTTATGATGAAAATTTGCGTACATTTGACACGAGATCTATGAGGGGGCCATTGAGTGAGATTAATTTACAAGGTGGTATATGGCGAATAAAATCCGATCCAATAGATCACAATTTAATGTTGTGTGCCTGTATGTATCATAATTTTAGTGTTGTGGATTTGTCGGATTTAAATGCACCCACGTTAGTTGGTGAATTCGGTGAGCATAAAAGCATCTGTTATGGTGCCGATTGGGGTTTGAATTTCGAACCGGGTGATGCGTGTATGCATATGGCAACATGTTCTTTTTATGATCATAAACTTTGTGTCGCTCGGATTAGCTAAGCGCGGGTATACTCTGTTTTTGTTATTTGTACAAAAATATATACGTATGTATATAATAAAGAAAAAATATAAAAGATTTGTTTTTTATTTGGTTTCGAATCTGTTTCTATTAATGAATGAGAATCCTGGGGAATACAAAAATATTAGGTTCGTTCGTTTACTGAATAGGTTCGTTCTTTTACTGAATAGGTTCGTTCGTTTACTCAATAATTTGTACAAATTTATACAAATTACTAGCATAGGCCCACTATGTCGTTAGCGGATCTTTTAAAAGTTAAAATAAATAAACACTAATTTAGCTACACAATATACTTTTGGATTAAGTATAAATTTGAAACAATTTAAATAGTGATAGGTCCCATATCTTCAATTTTGGAAAAAAAATCTCAGATCTTACTCCGCATTTCTTTCGAACAGAAACATTGATGCCTCTATCCTACTAAATCGAGTGCAGCTTATTTATATTAATATTTTCGGAAAGTGTACTATTGTCTCGATCCTTCAAATTGACTAATATAAATAGGAAGTTTCTCAAATTATGTTGTTCCTTCCTGTAATGGGAAAAAGTAGTAGGTTAAGGTACGTGTATATAGCACGAAATTGTAATTTTATATTTTGCACAGCGCATCATTTATTATACAGAGACCTGCCTTTATAAGGAAGCAATTTCCATTAAATTAAAAAAACTCTACATCTACTCGTTCTGTCGTATACAATATTTAGTACTTTAAATGTCAATGCCAAACAAAAGTGTAAAAATTGTTGTTTTTCATAGAAAAAGCCTCTTACCAAATTTAATATCCACTCGTACCGCCTTATACTATGTATTGTACTTTTTCGTTCATTTTAGAACTTATTTCTGGAAAATATTTATGTATAAATGTTTATTTTTATACAGAATCTCTGATCTTACTCCGTATTTCTTTCGAACAGAAACGTTGATGCTTCTATCATACTAAATCGAGTACAACTTACTTATTTTTATATTTTCTGAATGTGCACTATTTTCTCGATCCTCCCGATGGACACATGCAAATAGTACCATAATACGTTTTTTAAAACATGTAGTAAGTTTTAGTACTTGTGTACCATTATCATCGTATGTTATGCAGAGACATGCCTTTATAGCGAAGATTTCCATTAGAATTGCAGAAATTTAGTATTTCTGGTGCATTACGTGTTAGAAAATCCCCAATGAAAAAACTTTTCGGTATTTATAGTATATCCTCGTTTCCTATTTAGTAATTTTTACTAAAAATTTTCAAAAAAAAAACCTTCTTTAATTTGTTATAGCTAAATATACATACAAAATTTCGGGACTATACCTCTACTCGTTCTGTCGTATACAATATTTAGTACTTTAAGTACACATATCATACTTTGCGAAAAGCATTGTTTTTCATAGAAAAAGTATTGTACCCATATTCTATATCTACCCGTACCACCGTATACAATGTGGTGTACTTTTTAATACATTTTAGAACTTAGTTCTACAAAATATTTGTGTATAAATGTTTATTGACATAGTTCTAGACAAGTATCTAATAATAAGTTCCTATATTTATCCGTTCTACCGTACACAATATTTAGTACTTGTATTTCATTCGTATTCTATTTGTTTATAATATACAAAACTACATGCCGAATTTCAGAATTATACTTTTCCCTACACAGTGCAATATTTTGTATTTTTGGTGCCATATAGTACGAATTTCCAATAAACCAAGCCTCTTATTTGTATTAAGAATTGGACATTTTTGCACTCTAAACTTACATTTATATTTTTTACCATTCACTGTACAATATTTAGTACAATTTTCCAAAAATATTATGCATATCGCTCTATTTGTAATAGTTTCAACTACAGACTAAATTTCAGATTTCAATCTTTGTCTCTCCCATTATAATTTAATATTTTGTACTATTTTAGTACTAATTCCAAAAATTGATTACTGTATAGCATATTATTTGTAATTTCAATTCCCTCAGGTTTCATTATGCTACAGTATATATTACTAAGTTTAAAAGAATTATGCATAGCATTCTATTTGCAATAGAGTAAGCTACAACATAAATTCTGGATTTCTATTTATACCAGTTCTATTGTACTTTATTATTTAGCACTAATTTCCAAATGTTATGCATTAAATTCTATTTGTAATTGTTAAAGCTATAAGCGAAGTACTAATTTCCAAGAAATATTTTTGCACATCATTCTATTTGTAATAGCTTAAGCTACGTACCAAGTTTCAGATATCTATCCCTACCTGTTGCATCGTAGTATAGTATTTAGTACCTTTAGTACTAATTTCCACGCACATTATTATTTGCTTATCATTGACAAAGCTGCATACCAAATTTCAGAGTTCTACTTCCAACCGTTCCGGAATAATACAGTTTTAGTACTTTTTAGTACCTTTTAGTACTAATTTCCAAAAAATATTTTTGCACATTATTCTATTTGTAATAGCTTAAGCTACGTACCATGTTTCAGATATATTTTTTCACCGGTTCCATTGAAATATAATATTTAGTACTTTTTAGTACCCTCTAGTACTAAATTCCAAAATTTTTGCACACATACCACTTCACTCATCCTAGGCAAAGATGCATACCAAATTTCAGAGTTCTACATCTAACCGTTCCCGCGTAATACAGTTTTTAGTACTTTTTAGTACCTTTTAGTACGAATTTCCAAAAACCCCGCCTTATCACACGCCTACTCACCAAACCCGACCTACATTCCAAATTTCAAGTTTCTAGCTTTAGCCGTTTCGTCTGGGCGTTGATGATCAGTCAGTCACTTATAACGCAACTCTTTTATATATATAGATATAGATAAGATAGATAGATTACAAAATGTTGTTCGTTTACCCAAAAGTCCAATAAAAGAGAGTAAATTGAGAGAGCAGATTTTATAGTTGTGTTACTTAGTATTTGCAAATTCTTACAAGGAAAAATTTACCCAGTAAAAATTCTTGTACCATCAGCTGATATTTAATCAGCTGCTTTGTTATATTTTGTAAACAAACATCAACATTATTCTCAACGAAATTGATTGTTTTGTAAATTGTAATTTTGATTTTGTATCATTAAACATTAAAAAAATGATGAAGAAAACGAAACTATTTATAAACAATATAATTTTTCCGCTTGTTATCCATTTTTTTTAATAAAAGTGCTGCTGTTTTGTTTGCGCCAAATTGTTTGTTGTTTAAATCAGCCGTTTCGATACAATCTTTCTGGATGTTGTTGGTTTACAATTTCCTCTCTTGAGAACAATAAATTGGTTTTTACTTTCTGCAAATTCATACTGAATAAAAAACTTACTGAAATAATAACTTACTATGAGATACTTAGTATTAATATTTTTATTTATTTTTGGTATTTATATAACTTTTATAATAAATTAGGTATAGTTTTAGTAAAAAATATATATTATATTATATAATATTATATTAAATTATATTATATTAAAATTATATTTTTAATTACTATATTTACAAATTTTATTTATTTACATCATAGTATACAGTTGTCCGCTGATCGGCATTATAATAATCATAAATTGTAATGGGCACTGGCTTTAATTTGCCCACATCATGAGATTTATCAGCTAAAATATCAATTAAAACGGGTTCTCCGGAATGTAATTTTTCAAAATATATAACAATAATAGTGTCATCATTTTTGGTTTCAACACGTTGTACTTGGGCAAGTTTACGAATTGACTCCATGTTGTGATTATAACAAACATATCCCGATGGTAAAGCAATTTCCATAACAATCATATTGGAACATTGTTTAGGATCATCCTTGTCATCGGATTGGGGTTTGTATTCAGCAACAACATTCATTGATAGCATATTTGGCGGCATCGCAGATGATTTCATTGTGTGTTGAATTATAAAACTGGGTTTGCACTCTTCATTATGTACATTATATTGATAGGATAATTGTATTAATGCCGAACCATCATCACCTTCGCCAGTTATATGAATTTTACGTGTTGACTTGGGCAGCTGGAAGTAATTATTATTAATAGAATAATAATTACAAGAAAATTTGTGTTACAAACTTACCAAATGACTTTGCAGTGTCAAACAATTGTCTCTGTCCACCTGGAAATTGCCAGATGTGGTCTCGTTGTCTTCTGCATCAAAACCTTGAAATTTAATTGTAACTTGACCATTACCGGCTGTTTTGTATTTTTCTGCAAATGCCACCAAAGCTTTGAGTCCTACAACGGTATCCTGTGTCGAATTGAAACCGCCCAAATTATTACGTTGCCCAATTAGCCATTTGATAATGGGCAATAATTTAGCCGGTTCTTCAGTCTCCAACAGGGATTGCAAAATATATGCGGTCACTTCGATGTCATTGTTGTTATTATATTTCAATGAATTCGACCACCATTTTAGGTTATTACCATATTGCGATTTAGATTGAATTGTATCTTTAATATTTGTTGTCAGCGAATGTTGGACTTTTTGGAATACCAATAACAGCAGAGCCAAGGTATAAATGTTATCTTCATTTTCAGCGTGCTCGGCCAGATATTGTATTGCCTTGTCAATTTGCAATTTATACTTCATGGCATAATCCTTAAGAAAAGACACATTTGAATTATTGTAGAATCCTATTATTTATTGTAGAATCCAATCTTACCTTATCTTCCAGGAATGCCAATAAAATAAAGGCAGATACTGCCAACTCATTCTGATTTGATGAATGAAATAGCTGCCCTGTCTGAGGAAATTGCCCATTGTCTTTTTGGGTTTTCACCAAATATTCCAAGGCATCTTCAATAATTCTATTATCGATTGTTATAAATTTGCGCGCCTGCATAAACGAACGCACCACATAGGCGGTTAGCCAGCTATTCGGCTCACTGGAACCCTCACCGAATGCACTGTATGCGCCATTTTTGTGTTTATATGTTAATTCCCTTTGAAATCCTGCCTCCATGAAATTCTTGGCTTTCTGAGCCAACAATGGCATATCACGGCCAATGGCATTCAAATATTCCAATACCAAAATATTCGGTACAAAATTAATCATATTCTGTTCGCCACAACCGTATGGCATGCGTACCAATTTATCGATATTCTTAATGGTGGGACCCAAAATATCTCCAACTACCATAAATTCCAAATATTCCGAATCTATGACCACATCTTTGGGAATATTAGCTTTCAAATTGTATTCTACAGTGAGACCCTTTGGTACGCTAATAAAATGACATTCATTTTCGTATTTGGTTACACCTTCCGGCTCTACCTTTAATTTCTGATGCATAGCATCACCGGCCAGAGGAGTTAAAGCTTTGATTTTTAACATTATGTCACCGACAATTTTGGGTTTAATTGTAAATGACAACGTTTCGGCCCCGTTGGAAGGAACGCAAACTTTTTTAGTTAGTTCATTGCCTTCGGAGGTGTCGTCTACAAATTCATAATCATTATCTTCATTATCCATTGTGACCACTGTTTCCAAATCATGGTCCATATAATTGAATACTGTTACGGGTACAGTAATGATTTCTCCACGTTTAATGGAATACGGGAGATTGGTGCTTAAGAAGAATGGTTGGAAAACACGAATTTTGGTTGCAGCATCAGTTAAACAAAATCCGGTTTTATCGTTGATTGAAAATCCCGTAATAATCCATGATGTTATAGTATCGGGAATCTTTTTGCTCAAGGATGCTATGCCATTAGAATCCGTGCTAAAAAAGAAGACAAAGAAAAGGTATAGTTATAGTATTGTCCAAAAAAAGAGGGGGGCTTGTTGTCATGTTTTCGATAAAAAAAGGAATTAGGTTCTGTGACTCTCTCTTGGAAGGTACATTCTGCTGTCAATAACAAGTTCATGTTCTCGAACCTTACCTATTTTTATCTTAATGCAATAAAGGTTATTTAAAAAAATCAATACCTTTCAATATTGTCAAATATCCATGTTTCGACAAAATTTTTTCTTATTTTTGGCGGTTGAACAAAAGTGTTTCTAGCACCGAATGCTGCAGAAGCCATTGGTAAACTATCTAGAGCCATCGGAGCTGCTGCAAAGACGCCTGGTACAGGTGGGCCTCCAAACAACATACCTGCCGGCTGGGCAAAGCATCTATACTGAGGTTGGACAACTGGAGCTGTAAAGATAAGAAATATATGAAAATACTTTATCACGAGTACCCCCTTATTTATTTAGTAATTATCTTAAATCGGAGGGAAGCTGGTACTATTCCTAGGTATTGAAAATAGGTTTCTACAAAAATGGCATGCCATATTTCTTTTATTTGTAGTACTTACATGAAGCGTTTGTCATTGTAACAAAACAAGATTTCCATCCTGGAGAATTAAATCCATGTAATTGCCTTTCATTGCAATTTAAACCATTAAAAATTGCATCTTTATCGAAATCATTGCCGGACTGCAGCAACAAAACACTCTGATCAACAGCCAGAAGACCAATAAATGAGTCAGTATCACTTTTGATTGCCAAATTGACGACATCACTTGCTTTAGCCTGTTCGGGTGCGCTAATTTCAAGCTAACAGTTGAAATTAAATGTTAATATTTTTCTATTTTATGAAAATATGCCCTTTACTTTACCTTATTTTCGAATTCATTACAAATATTTATAGTGGTCTCATCGCAACAAAATTTACCATCATCAATGGAATAGATAAATACATCGGCCTTTGGAATCATGTCGAATGTTGCTTTCAATTGCAGTTTATATCGATGTTGATTTTGTTCATCGATATGAATATATTTATTCTGGATAATTTTTCCACGTGCCTTTATTGTATAGACCAAATAGGATAATGGTTTTTGCGATACCACGTCGAGTGTAAAATCTTCACCTATTTGAAATCTGTGAAAAAGAAGGATGCGATTATATGTAATTATGAGAATATTATTGTAGTAAAACACCATCCAATTGTTATTTTAGAAAGAATTGGACGTTGCATAAAAGAAAAATAGTTATTCTACAAACTATGTGTTTTCTGGCAACTGATACTATATACAGCATACAAAATCGTTGTAAAATAAAGTATTTAATTCTTTATTACACGAATAGAGTCTGAAAACTATATTTGGAACAACTCTAGTTTAGTAAAAACAATCAGATTTTTCTGAAATTTTTTCCAGAGGTAGGTATTTTTACCCTAATTACGGGGATATCTTTTTTTCTTGGGGGACGTATCCGGTTAATATAATATGGGTATCATTTTAAAGGTTATAAAAATACCTTTCCATTGAGTGGTAATATGGGGTTATCTCAAACCATTTGGAGATATAGTCAAAAAACTGGGTTTTGGTCCCCGATTTTTTTGAAAAACTCCCTAAAAGTCGAATTTGGGTCCATTATAGTCCCTCAAATGATAGACCACAATTTGCCCTTTCCAAAATGGTGCGATATGTGGTTGTATCTATTGTGGATCAAAAGATATGGGCCTTAGAACTCTATGAAAACAAGGAAAATCTTTCTACATGACAGACTCTCCTTTTAAATAGCATGGTGTTTTTTGCGTTCCCGAACTTAATTTTGTACTCTGAGAGATTTTAAATTGTTTCCCTTTTAATAGCTTTCCTATTAAAAAAGTTCTGGAACAGACCAAATGAGAATAAATTAAATTGAAAAATATTCAAATTTATTTGAGAACAAAATGAGTTTTACCGTCGTTCGGCTTAAGTTGAGTTTAGGGGCTCATCTCCGATTTTTCTAAAATTTTTACCACAGGTAGATCTCGTCTCCCTGATCACGAAAATATATGACATTCATGGGGGAAACCCATATATCCCGAGATATGGACCTCTGAAGTTCCGGAATTCATATGCTCATAACTTGGACATTTATGGGCCGATAATGGTAATATTAACGGATATTTAGAGAAACATGTTTATTTAAAAGAAAATTTCGATCACATAGCCGAATTTTCTATCTGTCCATAGAAGAAAGTCTTAAATCCCCGGCCGAAGGCCGGCTATATAAGAAAAACTTTGATATAAAGGAAATTTTAGTCACGTAGCCAATTTTTCCACCTGTCCGTAGCAGATAGTCTTAAATCCCCGGCCGAAGGCCGGCTATTTATAAAAAATTAGTTTAAAAACATTGTTGATGCGTTAGCCGAATTTTCCGCCTGTCCATAGGAGAAAGTCTTAATTCCCCGGCCGAAGGCCGGCTATTTAAGAAAAACTTTGATATAAAGGAAATTTTAATCGCGTAACAAATTTTTCCACCTGCCCATAGCAAAAAGTCTTATATCCCCGGCCGAAGGCCGACTATTTAGAAAAAAATTAGTTTAAACAATATTGTTGATGCGTTAGCCGAATTTTCCGCCTGTCCAGAGAAGAAAGTCTTAAATCCCCGGCCGAAGGCCGGCTATTTTGGATAATTTTTAATTAAGACGAATTTAAGTGGAAATATAATGTGTACGCTTTACAATCATACCAATATTACCTTCACCGATTCATAAATAACGAAGTTATGAGCATAGGAATTTTGGAACTTTAGAGGTCCATATCTCGGGAATTATGGACTTCCCCCATGAAAGTCATATATTTTCGTGATCAGGGAGACGAGATCTACCTGTGACAAAAATTTCAGAAAAATCGGAGATGAGCCCCTAAACTCAACTTGTTCCCGTCGTTCATCTGAAACTGAAATTAAATTGTTATGGATGAAACAAACATTTCATGGTAGGTATTCCCTACTGAATTTTGGGAAGAAATCACAACCTTTCATTTATTTTGTGTTGCAAAAATGTCAAATAAATACAATCACTTGTTGCGTTTATTTATTTTATATTTAACGCATGGTACAATAATAAAAGGTAACAGCAAATCCCAGCTGATTTGATTCCAACGTAATGCTAGTGTCAATATGAATTTGACAAATTATGTTTTTACAAATCACCCAACAGGAAAATTGGGAAAGCATAAAATTGGAAATTGTTCATTATTAAATGTGCTCCCGTATTCAATTTACTCAGTCTGCCTGCTGGGAAAGTTTGAGAAAGCAAATCATTCTTCATGAAATAACCCGCAATTCCCTGCATTTTCATATGTGTTACGCATATAAGTGGTTATGACTCAATTATAGGAAAGATGTCGAAGCGATAGAAATATAAATTTGATAGATTTTCATTCATGTTTTTCAATTTTATTTTGAGGATTCGAAAATATTTCATTTTCAAAATAAATATAATTTCTTGATAATTTGTTTGTTTGTTTACATTTTTCTGTCTAATGACGTTGACACTAGTATGACTTACAACAACAAATTTCCATGTGGTTGTTGTATCGTTTGTTGTACAACAACACTTGCTGTTACCTTTTATTATTATGCCATGTATTTAACGTTAGAAGCCACTACATACAGTGTTGCATTTTTGTAATTCACCTCATGTTGCCATACCTTGTATTATTAAACATTATTCGCATTAACCTTTTAGTACAGCTTGCTCTGCAAGGATTAAACAGAAATAAGAATCAAATGGTACTTACTCTTTGGTCGTGGAACATATTCTCAATGGTTTATTCGAATACGAATATAATCCAGTAGTAGTGGGCATTTTTCCAATTTCATCTACCACTATAAATTCCGAACAGTCATACATTTCTTCTTCGTACATAACTCTCACGCTACCAAATTCGATTGCTTTGGAAAATTTCAATTGGAATTCAGCAATTCCATACTGATTGATAGAGCTTTCAAAAATTAAACCGCTTTTATGAAACGCGCCTCTATGACGATTAAGCAAAAGTTTTGCTGTCGATTTGGCATTAGTTACTGGTAAGCCATTGAGCCGTTTTATTATTGCCTTAATTTCGAATGGTTTACCTACCTCATATTCGCTGAGTATATTCGGCACGGTAATTTTAAAACGAGAAAGTCTAACATTTACGTTGGCCGTAGTACTCTGCTGAAAGTCGGTAAGGGCTTCAGTCATAGTGGCTTCAACATTGAGTTGGGGCATATAATGATCATAAAAGTGATCTAATTTCAAATCTTCCATTAAATCGAACTCAACCTGACCCCTACCATTTATGTCAAGTGTCTTTTGGACTTTTTTCGACAAGTTCGGCAAGTTAACAGTTATCGTTGCTTTGCCGCACACCGGTTTGCCATAGGTGTATTTGGAGATTATTGTAATTTTCAATACTTTATCTAAAATTGCAACTTCTTCATCCGTTTCAATTTCCACCGTAAACTTGGGTAGAACATATTTCGCAACTTCAAATTGTTTATGGGCTGTGTCTTTATTTTCCACGCCGGTGGTTATATCAATATGCCAATGTCCCAGTACTGGCTGTTCTGACAGCTGGAATTTTCCACTATGGACACCTTTAGTGAATTCGATGTCCTTTAAATATGTAATTTGATTTCCGGCACCATCTCGTATAGCAAAATTAAGCGGTTGCTGGAGTTTGGCTGGCCGTAGATTTTCATCCAAAGCCAAAATACGAAATTGTACCAAATCACCGGGTTTATACATGGCTTTGTCGGTTTGTATATATAGTTTAGGTCTATAATTTGCCACAAATAATGTTGCATCATTTTTGAATGTTAAACCATGAATGCCCTCTGCTAGCAATTTATATTGGCCTTGGTCTTCTTGCAGAAATGCGGGTATTTTGAAATTTACAATTTCCGATGTACATGGTAGGACATGAATGGTTTTAAAGTCGGAATATGTAGGGCCAGCGATTGTTATTTTAATGGTGACAGGTTCCAGAATTTGATAAGTAGTTATGGTGACAGCATAATCCAGGCCCGATTGTATGGTGAATGGTGCAACAATTGTGTAATATCTGTAAACAAATTAAAAATACATATATATTTTACTAGATTATCTAAATATTTTACTCTGTAGTTAAATTCTGTAACTTTTTACCGTTACCGACAAATATCGATAAAAGTAAACACACATATTTTTTACCATCGCATAATTACAGAAGGCAGTCTCATTTGAGAATTTGATGATGGCAACCCTGTTTAATTCGGAACTCATCTATCTATTTTAAATACTATGAAAAATAAATTCCATAAAACTTTATGTATGCCGATTGGCATATTTTCAATAAATTAAACAAAATATATTTTCTAAAGCTGAATATTGTTCTGAAGATTTAACCATGGTTGTTACATCTTATATCTATAACTTTTAGAGGCAGGGAACTTGAAAATATTCATAAATATAAATTATTTAGCAATTTTTGCCACTGAACACATGATATGCGTACATTTCGAAGGAAGATCTTTTCATTTAAATTTTGAAAGCTGAATACTGTCAAATGCAAATTTATGAAAAAATTGGAAACAAATGACTGCATGGGACTACCTTGTATAATTATGCCATGATTTTTCACAAAAAATTATTCTTTATGTCTTCCGGTAGGCTCGTCGACTAGAGCTCGTTTAGACTACTGAATCCACTTGATTTCAAATGTAAGTTCCATAGCGTATAAGTCAAAGTCAGTTATTAATTTATTTTCAGGATTTCGCAAATCCATTTCACATAAGGTGCGTATGTAAATGCGCTACTAGTTTAAACAGCTAGGATTTTGATTTAGAAATCTAATCGAGTTTTTTTTCTGAATAAAAATTTTATTCAAATTTAGTAAGAAGTTTTTAATTTAAAAAGGGACCCTCGCGGTTCCATGCCATTCCAAAACCTGACAGAATCTACTATTTATACCATTTTAAAGCCTAGACAGACGGCACCCTGAATTCAAATTAACTTGTACATTATCCTCATTTTTATGTGTTGTTAATGCACAAAAAAACTGAATTTATACTGAATTAAACCATTTCAATATGGCAATGCTCTCGAAAAAACAATTGATTGTATTGTAAATATGTTTACGTTTCTGAAAATAAAAATAAATGTAAATCACAATATTCTTTCAAATTGGGAGCTGTTTTGTTAACATCTTCCGTTATATCATGTATATTCTTCCGTTATATCATGTATGTAATTCCGAATTGAATTTTTTAATGCAACTATGAATTTTTTAATGCAACCCTGTCGTGAATGTTCACTAATTTTGTGGTGTTCTGTGCTCGTTTAAAAAATATTTAATTTCTGTTCCCGTACTGCAGGAATCTACTATATTTTACTATTTTCTTCGATATCATAAAGGAAAATTCGTTATCGTAGTAAAAAGTAGTAGATTCTTGCAGTACGGGAACAGACCAAATATAATCAGTGTTTTTGTGGTAACAGTGTTTAAAAGTGTTGTAAAATAATTTTTGTGCATTTTGATCTAATTGGAATTGTGAAATTTAACATATTTTTGCTAATCTTTTTAATTCTAATTGGCATTTTGTTTCAATTCCCAATTTGTTTCTTTGTTACATTAGCTTATATTGTTGTTGTAACATTTCTTTTACATATTTTGTTTTGTTATTTTGACATCTCAAAACAGAGTTGCCAAATTTTGTGTTTCATAAGAAATTCAGGGGATAGAAATTCCAGAAAATTCATAAAAAATCAATAATAATAATTTTTAAAAATGGTTTGTCCTTATGACAAAAAATAAACTTTTTAAAAAAATATAAAAAATAAAGCTCCTCTATAGATTATGCTAATTATGCTGTCGCAAGGTCTAAATGTACGACAGAGTCCCGAAAACTTTACAATCTTTATTTAAACAAGATTAAACATAATTTCAAATCCAATCCTAAATCTTTTTATGACATTGTTAATATAAAAAGAAAAGCAACGTCGAAACCCACCATTTTGAAATTCAATACTCAGACATTTGAGAAAAACTCTGAAATTTCAGAGTGCTTTGCAAATTTTTTCGCTACAACATATTCATATTCAAATAAAGACACATATAGCTATAAATTATCGACGATAGATCAAATATCTATGCCTTTTTTACAAAGTCAATATGTTTCTAAAAATCTACGTAATTTAAGATAAATTAAAAGTCCAGGTCCGGATGGCATTCCTAGCATAATTCTAAAGTACTGTTCAGATACATTAGCTATCCCATTAACGCTGTTGTTTAATTATTCCCTGAAGTATAGTCATTTTCCTACCTTCTGGAAGAAATCCTATATAGTTCCTTTACACTAATCGGGCAGCTTAACTAATGTCTCGAATTATAGAGGAATTGCTAAATTAAGTGCAATTCCAAAATTATTCGAAAAACTGATTACTTATATAATTTCTCATAAAGTTCAGCCAATCTTAAGTCCATATCAACATGGTTTTCGTAGTGGCCTCTCAACCATTACCAATCTTATTCAATTTTCCTGAACCATCATAAAAGGTTTTATTCAGCGTAATCAAACAGATACAATTTACACTGACTTCAGTAAAGCTTTTGACTGGGTTAACCATGAACTTTTAATATATAAATTAAATCAAATTGGTTTCAGTATAAATTTAGTTAAATGGATATCATCTTATTTGCGAAATAGATCACAGGTAGTTTTGTTTGATGATTGTCTCTCCAAATCAATTAATGTTCCTTCCGGTGTTCCCCAAGGAAGTCATTTAGGTCCACTCCTCTTTCTTCTATTTATAAATGATTTACCAAATGCAATAATCCATTCCAAATTGGTAATGTATGCTGACGATGTCAAGTTGTTGTAGTGGCGCATGTATGTAAATTTAGAAATGCACTTCACTTATGTTTATTATTGGCACCCACTAAACAGAAGGTTGGACAGGGCTGATTTATTTCAAATGTTTCATTAAATGTAAGTTAACATTGCTAGTTCGGTTGCTTCTGCAGTGTCTTTTATTTATTTATAGATTTTTCTTTATGAGGTCTTCTTCTTCTTTATTTGCAGTGACTTAGCTATGTTATCTTTACAGCGACGATTTGCATGTTGGGCACTGTTCGCTTGATGTTGTTTACATATCACTGCTTGTAGGCTATCGGTGGCATGAGGGTAGTGTGTCGGCGTATGGTTCCGGAGACTTGAGTTCTATCCCTGGTTGGGGCTGTTGTTTTTTATCTATTTTTTTATTTCTTATTTATTTATTTTTTTTTTTGTCTCGTTATATTCGAAAATCAAATTTTATTTAGTTTAATTTTATCATGATTTACAGGTGAATAAGCGTTTGAAGGCAAAAATCTATTTTCTAACTAGCAGCAACATAGTATTTTTTTTCGTTCTACTCGTTAAGTTGATGCTATAATTTCCCCTTCAGAGCTACTAGAAAATTTAGGATTTTCTACTCGCTTGTTTTTCTAATCTCACTCAAGCACACATACGAGGATCATAGAGGATATTTTCGTTGTTGTGGGGAATATATACATATATAGAAAGTAGACATATTTAATTTTGGAATTTTTTTTACTGGTATTAGTTTTGGCATTTTGTAGCAGCGTATCATCCGAGGTTACAAAATAGGGTAATTAGGAAGACATCTTGCGCAGTTTCTTCCAACCACGCACTTAAGCACAAGCCTTTTGGAGCCATTGTGAGGAGTTGATCCAACTATGGGTTTTGGTTGCATAATAGAAATTCTTTGGCGGCTTTGTTTTACCCATCTGTGCAAATTTCCTTAATTTTGTCCCAGAAGGAAGCATTCTATACCTGAGGAGAGGTCATAAAATTCGCCCTGGTTGATTTTCATTTTCGTGAAGAATATTGAAGAATTTTATTTTTCACCCAGAACTATTCCTGACAATGCTCTACTATTTTTCTTCTTTAATCACGGGTAAGGTTCAGTGTTCGTTGTGTCATCATTTCTATGTGTTTTCTAATTCCCACTCTTGTGTCCCCTCTTTCTTGTCTTTAGAACACCTTATTCTCCAATTCCATGGATCGATCGACAGTCTAGTGAGAATTTCTACCATCACCTTACTCAGAGCTATTCATGTAGTTGGTGAAGTGGTATTGTGATCGACGCATTTTATTTGAAAAATCATTCAGTGCCAGTGGGAAAAATTAATAATTTAAACCGAAAACAAAAACGAATCCTTTGCTTGAATCTGTGGTGTGGAAGAACAATGAAAACTTAAGATATATAAATATTAAAATAATTTGCATGTGCTTTTATATATTTGTTCTCTCAATTATTGTCAAGGTTAATGTTGAAATAATTGTTTTTGTTGGTTCTATCAGGCAGTGTGAGATCTGAAACAGACGGTAGTGAAACAATACAAATAATAGAAAAGATTATGTGTTGGAAAAAAATATTTAAATTGACCGTCAAACATAAAGAAATGATTAAAATAGTAAAACGATTTTAAAAGAAGCACAATATAAAACAAACAAATATAAAAATTGTGTGAAATAATATAAATTTACATGGATGGCGATTTATTTTGGTGCATACTATACTCTTACTATATTCTCTTAATGGGAGTTTGCTGATCACCCCATCGAAAGGCCTTTCAACGAGGGAATTCTGTCACAAACCAAGTAAGTGAGAAACATGTTAAAATTGAACAAGCAAAGCAAGGTAACCACCTACTGAGAGCGCACCGTTATTCCTCTCCAGAAAATATTAACATTAAAGTTTCTTTATTTAATAATATTTAATCTTGTTTTGATCGTAATTAATTTATTGAAACTCATTAAATTAATTACTGGTGTATATTTAAAGGATTTTCCTGTTGCTCGTTCGATTTTCCATTTCCTGTCATTTATATTTTCTGTACTGGTTGTGTGGATATGCTGGTGTTAACATAGCAACCAATGTTAACGCATCAGTTCTGCTGTTAGCTAATTACATTCAGTGTCAAAGTTTGAGAAGCACTGCTTTTCAAACTTTTACCATTACAACCAGTTGGTTTTATTTTGCCATAATTTTAATTAATAAAGTAAATATTACAGCATATCCATACAATTAGTCCCATTTTACATAATTTTTATATTTGGTTTAATAAAATTCAAAGTATTTATATTCAAACAAGTACAAAAGAAATCTGTAAAAGATCATTGATATTAACAGTGCTTAACATTTTGCTGTTGGTCGGGTTGAACGACCTAACAGCTGTTTGTTACAAAAGAAAGAAAGAAAAGAAACACACAAACCGATGTACATTTCGTTTTGTGTGTTAACATATTTTTTTGCTAACATTGATTGTTTCACCAACTACTCTGATTCAGATTCTCATTGCATGTTATAATTGTTATTAATTTTTTTATTATTGAATTTTTTTTATACTTATAAATTTTTAATATTTATTTAATTGATTGGTTTATATTCCATGAAAAATAGTCTTTGATTTCGATATAAAAAAATTTTCTTGTCAATAATTTTCTTCTTTATATAAATATATGTACATATCTAGCTTTTGCAAAATGTTGAGTGTAGATTTATATATTAAGATAGCTGATTTAACGCTGTATTTCATTCTTATTAGGTATAGTTAATTATTTTTCTGAATTATAAAAAAAATGGAATTTTCTTATTTTAATAAAATTATTGTTCATATTATTATGGAGTAGATAATTTTTCGAGTTTGATTTTACAAAAAGGGTTCGGCTGAGTTAAATAGGGTGACTGATTGTGGGTTTACTATGATGTTGTATGAGGGTTTTCCTTCTTGGATTAAGTTAGTAAACAGGATGGGTGGGCTGTCCATGTAATATCACCTTAACATGGCATTTAATCGAAATATGGTGAACGTAAGCAATTCTTTCTCTATACTTTCAGGACAACAGATCCTTGTTTATACTGTTCTTTCTTTAGTAATGGATTTCTTCTAAATTCAATATTTGGCTTATTGTTTTCTTTTTTTCTTTTTGAGCATACATAAAAAAATTTAACTGGTAGTTGGCAGAACATATAAATGAATTTTGGCAAGATCCCACCCCAAACGGCGAGCAATAAGGCTGAGGAAATATGTATGCTAAGCCTCAGGAATTCATTTGATGCAAATTTTAAATATTTTCTTCATATCACACCACTGCACACTACATTGTTTATCACCCATCCATGAAGCAAGCTGACTTACTTCAAAATGATTTAAATAGCCTTTTTCAATGGTGCGAATTAAACTGTATGGATTTAAACCTAAACAAATGTAAGCATATGTGTTTTTTCCAGATCTTCTACTTTAACAAGGCAATACAATATTAATGGTTCTGTTTTATCAATTGTAGATTCATTTGTTGATCTTGGTATTTTAATGGATCCAAAATTAAATTTTAATAATCATGTCATTTCTATGGTAAACAAAGCCCACGGTGTCTTAGGATTTATAAAACGATGGGCTAAAGAATTCTCTGATCCCTACATTACAAAACAACTTTTTACATCTCTTGTGCGACCCATATTAGAATATGGCTCTGTTGTATGGGAACCCCAATATACAATATATTCCGATAAAATTTAATCAGTGCAGAAACAATTTCTAATTTTTGCACTGAGAGGTTTACATTGGAATAGTGAATTTGTGTTGCCTTCTTACACTAGCAGGTTAAAATTAATTCGATTGCCTACATTAAAAAGTAGACGACGTATTATGTTGAACACTATGATGGTAATTAAAATACTAAACGGTAGTATACCCTCAGACTTCCTAATTTCATCCATTAGAATAAATGTGCCTTTTCGATTAAGTAGATATTATCAACCATTATAGGTAGATTTTCATCGCACAAATTATTCTATGGGAGATCCACTTAGTAAAATGTGTATTGATTTCAATTCTGTGTATTCTAACGTAGACTTTTGCATGAATATAGAACTAATAAAATCTAATATCATTATATTTTTAAATGAATAATACAACTTACTGTACAACTGTTGAAGTAGATTTCTGTAGCTGGTTTTCTATCCCTTCTCATATTCCATCATAATGCGGATTATGGTGTGTACGCGATCCCTACGAAAGTGAGGCGTGGGAACGAACGTAAAAAAATAAGGCTGTCGTCTGTCTATAGTATAATACACTTTTTACAATAAATATTTTTTTGCCATTTTTACTAATAACAAATATGAAACACTTCAAAAATAATTAAAAGTCTATTATCTATTATGGTGAAATACGTATGCATGCATGCTATTGCCAACAATATATAGATATATATTAATTAAATACTAAAAAACACATCTATATTAAATCTCACTAGTGATCAATTGTCAAAAATAAAATACATAAATAAAAATTATAATTTTCCGCAGAACCTCAATATTGTTTATTTTGCAAAACAATTTGATGTTGTGAATTACCCATTTTTGTTGTCCATTTCGATATTTGCAATAAGAACTCTGAGCTAATACACGTCCGATCTCAATGACTGTTAAACTTCAACTATAGTGGAATTGTGAGTCATTTCACCAAATGCCGATAAAAGCCGAACAAGCCAAACAATTGATTTCGCCACAAGCTGACAGAATCAAAACAATAATAAATACAAGCACATCGCAAAAATGCAGAAACGGTTGGTCAGGTCGATATTGTGTATACCCTTTAGAATGCTAACAAATTCAATCTTTAAGAAATGTTAAGTCTATCCAGCCCCAACATCAACTTTTGCATATAAAAGTTGGGATAAATATATATTCACTTTTCCAAAACCAATAAAAAATGCCATAAAAGGAATACTGATGATGACAATTTTTGTTTGCACAATACCTACAATTCGGGGAAATAGAGTTAAGTTTTGCGCCAAATTTGTAAGAAAGTGGTCTATTTCCGTACTCAAAATGTTGTAAAACATTTCAAATTCATCAAGGAAAATCTAAAGCAAATCAATGTTCTTTATATTATGATGCAGGGTATTTTATAGTTAAAATTGATATGTATGGAGACTTATCAGCTGTTTTTCTACAGTCAGTTACTCATCGTCGTATGGTGCCAACGTTTACCGTTAAATAATATATTTAAATTATAAAAATCCATAGTCCCCAAACCCGCATAGCATAAAGCGGATTTACACATAACATTTAATCATGATTAAAGGCAGAATCAGGTTTTATTTGGTTAATCAGGCTGAATTTGCCATAATTTTTCATACAAATTTGAATCATCGTGCGTCAGGGATGCAATGCAGTTTTTGTACGAAAAAATAAAACACTCTCACGAAGTACTGAAATTTGCAAAAATTAAGACGGAACAATGGAATGAAAATGGAACAATTGAGAATTTACTTTAAGAATTTACTTTATATTTACTTTATATTAAATATCATGGCATAATTACAGAAGGTAGTCTCATTTGAGTATTTTATGATGACAACCCTTTTTAATTTGGAAATCATCTATATGAATTAAAATGAAAAATAAATTCCATACAATTTTATGTATGACGATTGGCATATTTTTAATAAATTTATCAAAAATATTACTACGAAAAAGGAAAGGAGACGTGAATTTGGCTGTGGATTTATGGTTAATGGGAGAATAAAAGACCTCGTCTCCAGATTCATTCCAGTAGATGAGCGAATTGCTACAATCCGTATAAAAGCGAAGTTCTTCTACATCAGTCTTATTCGCGCCCATGCTCCTACGGAAGACAATGATGAACACACCAAAGATATTTTTTATGAGCGCCTAGAAACTACATATGACCGCTGCCCTGGCCATGAAATTAAAATTCTGCTAGGAGATTTTAATGCAGAAATCAGAAGGGAAAATATATTTGGCCCCACCGTCGGAAAATTCAGCCTCCATGAAGAAACATCAGACAACGGCATGAGGTTGATTGACTTCGAGGCAACAAAAAACATGGCAGTTAGCAGCACCAGGTTCAAACATCTCGATTTACACAGGGCCACATGGATTTCTCCCGATCGAACAATGAGAAATCAAATCGATCATGTTGAGGTAGACGGAAGGCATTCATCCAGTGTTTTAGACGTTCGATCGATCGGAGGAGCGAATATCTATTTGGACCATTACCTTGTGGCCACCAAGGTCAAGACATCAGCTGCGCTAAATGGACTACCTATTCATTGTGCCTAATCTAATGTAACACGGAAACTCGACGTCTAAAAGCTGCAAACACAACAGATAAACGCAGCGTATAGGGCAACCCTGCAGACAGTTGCGATGGAGAATTATCGAGATAAAAGGAGAGAGGAGAATCGTATTTTCAGAAAAAGAAGAAAGAACAAGAAACACGTGAGCGCGAGCAAATCAAGATGTACAGGAGTCAGAATGAAGTTCGAAAATTTTACCAACGAGTAAAACACCAAACCGGAGGCTTTGGCGCAGGCACATCCTCCTGTAGAGATGAAGAAGAAATCATGGTGACAGATACAGACAGGATCTGTAAGGAGCATTTTGAAAAACTTCTGGTATCAAATAGTAGCGGTGAAGAGGATACTCCAGAACCAATAATAGATGACGGTATAGAGTATATACCACCTAGCCAAGATGAGGTCAGAACAGCAATCAATAGGCTGAAGAATAATAAAGCAGCAGGTGCCGATGGGTTACCAGCCGAACTATTAAAGACTTGTGGTCAGATGCTGGTAAGGAGCATGTACCAGCTGATTAGTACAATTTGGCTAGAGGAATGCACGCCAAATTATTAGATCCTCAGACAACCTTGCCGAATATGGTCTTTCAAACTAGAAAAACTGCGCAAAAGGCCGACGCGCCTGAATATCGTTTTTAACTCCGGCTTATGGAACGAAAGCTCCGTCACAAGCCTGCTAAATAAGTAAGTAAGATATTTGGGCCATGGACAAAATCATAGTACAATTATAAAAGGTAACAGCAAATCCCAGCTGATTTGATTCCAACGTAATACTAGTGTCAATATGAATTTGACAAATTATGTTTTTAAAAATCATCCAACAGGAAAATTGGGAACGCATACAATTTGAAATTGTTCTTTATTAATGTGCTTCCGTATTCAATTTACTCAATCTGCCTGCTGGGAAAGTTTGAGGAAACAAATCTTTCTTGAAGGAATAACTCGCTATTCCCAGCATTTTCATACGTGTTACACATATATATGGCAATGACTCAATTAAAGGAAAGATGTGGAAGCGATAGAAATATAAATTTGATAGATTTTCATTCATGTTTTTCAATTTTTATTTTGAGGATTCGAAAATATTTCATTTTCAAAATAAAAATAATTTGATGATAATTTGTTTGTTTACATTTTTCTGTCAAATGAGTTGACACTAGTAGAACTTACAACAACAAATTTCCATGTGGTTGTTGTATCGTTTTTTTGTACACTTGCTGTTACCTTTTATTATTATACCATGGGACAAAATCAAGTAAAGAGTTGCTAAGGTTGCCATCATCGATTTAGCAAATGACACTACCTTTAATAATAGGTTCGTTCGCTTACTCAATAATTTGTACGAATTTGTACAAATTATAACAAAATGTTGTTCGTTTACCCAAAAGTCCAGTAAAAGAGAGTTAATTGAGAGAGCAGATTTGACAGTTGTGTTACTGAGTATTTGCAAATTCTTACAAGGAAAATTTACTCAGTAAGAATTTTCTTGTACCACAGCTGATATTTAATCAGCTGTTTGGTTATGTTTTGTAAACAAAAAACGAAATTGTTATCAAGCAAATTGATTCTTTTGTGAATTTTATTTTGATGTTGTATCATTAAACAGGAAAATGGATGAAGACAACGCATGTATTTATAAAAAAAATCTAAAATGTTCCCTTGTTATCAATTTTTCTAATAAAAATGTTGTTTTTTAGTTTGCGCCAATTTGTTTGTTGTTTTAATCAGCTGTGTCGAAACATTCTTTTTACTGGATGTTGTTCGTTTACTTTTTGCAGTTTTCTCTCTTGAGAAGGAAAAATTCGTATTTACTCTCTGCAAATTCTTACTCAGTAAATATTACTGGGAAAGTAAACGAACGAACCTAATTATGCAATGACAATTAACATACGTTAATCTAAACGCGCACATGTAAGCACAAGTTTACCAAGTTAATGCGTTGCCATACTGAACAAACCATTCCTAACGGTATTTCGCCATGAGTTTCTTTAATCGTTTGCTTTACACTCATTCGTAAATAGAATAGTACCCTTATCGGGCATTCTCTACTTTCCCTCCTTCTCGTAGAAGGCGGAACGTTTTTAAATTGAAACAGGCACTATTTCTAACGGGATTTCGAATTTAATTTGGTTTGGCGAAGTGTCAGCGTCCCCCTTTTTATTATTTTGATTTAACTTGTGAAAAGTTTCAAATTATAATGACTTTTCACTGACATAGAAACTTAAAATAGTTTTGTGCATTCGACAATTATCCAAATTACAATAGAAAATAACAAAACGCGTACACAGATGATGGACAGTAAAACAAATTCTGGTATAAATTTAGAGCGTTTGCTGGAACAAATCGTCGCACTTAATCCGACTTTAAAATATATACCAGAGAAATTATCAGTTTTAAGTAAGCGTATGGAGGCCCAACTGATGGGCGAGGCAGTGGTACGCATTGAACATATGGAGCCACTCTACGACCAGTGGGAGGAAAGGGTGAAGCAGCAAATTTACCGTCTGAAATGTTTAATTAATGAAAATGAGGAGGATGAGGGAGACAATGGGGAGTCGAAAGCCTTTGGCACCAAAACACCGAGAGGCAGATCTGCAGCAAGTGAGCATGGTGAAATAAAGCAGGAATTGCAAAGAGATTCAAGTGATGATGACGAGGCACTGATAATACGCAGATCACGAAATCGCAACACAAAAAGAATAAGAGAGGAATCTGTGGAACGGAACACCTCGATTGACCTCAACGAAAACATCCCACTTTCATTGCGTAGAACTCCACGTAAACGCAAGCGATCTTCCAAATATATTTCACCGGCTAAATCGAAGAGAAGTTACCATTCGAATAACAGTTTGAATTACCACAGAAAGAGCAGCAGTCATCATCAACACTGCCACCACCACCACCAACACCATAAGGACCGAAGGGATGAGTCAGGAACTTCTACATCCGGAATTATTCATCGCTGCGAGCAGGATGATATTGTTTTCGAGCAGGGTACATCTTCTCGTACCTTTCATTTGAAAATTCCTTCGCTTTTTAAATCGGATTTCCATGAAATAAATTTCAGTGAGCTTGAAATTACCCGTAAGGTAATAGATGCCCGGGCGGAGGCTGCCAAAGAAAAGATTTTGCAAAAAGCATTGCATCCACCACCGAATAAGAAGCAGCGATCACACAAGAGAAAACCATCCATTTCCATGGTGGAACATTTTACCGACACTCAACGGGAGCGTGAAGAGGCGGAATTGTCCCAACTGATAAACG